AGAACAGGACAGCCCAGAAAAACAACAGAACAGCCCAAAAAAAAACAACAGCAACAAAAGCGAGCTGAGACAGAAATGGAAGTAGATAAAATGCCACCACCTCGGGCGTCATCATTAAAGAGGAGCTAGAGAGGAGGAAGAGGAAGTGGAGACGCCAATTCAAAAGCACTCCGGGCGTAGTAGGGCGGGTGGGGTCATGGACAAAACCAGGTCCCTATCCATCCCTGCTACCCCTAAAGAAACATTGGTCGTAGCCTAAGTAAGGAGTCTCCCTTCCTCCCCCTCCCGTGCTCCATCCCCCTCTCTCTCTAATTCTTCCCTCAGCTCGTTATCCACACCCCTCACACGTCTACCTCTTCCCCTCCTCACCCATCTCAGAGGAAAAGGAAAAAGAAAAATAACTATTTTCAGGTCCGGAATCGATCTGTAGGGTGGACAGAGGGGATTTCAAGAAGATACAAAAGGGGATTATTTGCTTTTGTCCGTGATGGATTCACGTGACAAACGTGCCGGCTGCTTTCTGACGTCACTTCAGCGAGTAACCAAAGTGGCCAGTTTTTTCAGCCAGCATCCAGTCGTCAAATAGAGCAGTTGCTTTTTGTGACCTCTGACCCGGCCAGCCAGCTGCCACGTGGGAATCTTACAAACCCTTGGTACCGTTTTGCTTTCGGAATATACCAAATATATAAACTATCTCCGGCTCGCAATTCTCATATTAGGAAAACACGACTCACCGTTTACTTTTTGAGAGGAATCTATCCTCGCTAGTGAGATGCAAATTAAATCAGGCCACGCGAATATCTGCTAGTGATACTAAATATAGCTTCTCCACAAACAGAGAAGAATCATCTGGTAGCTCAAATTCCTGTTGGAATTTATCACACATAAGACTCTTTCTCTTTCTGCGCCTAATTCACACTACTTTTTGCGTAAATATATGTGTTAGTTCTATTTATGGGGTTAATGTAAATATGTATATATAAGTTTGTATTTCACTTACCAGTATCCAGCTCTCTCTGACATCAAAGCATGTTTGTCATTCCCTTGAATGTGTTATTATATTATGGATATAATAATACTCGTAATGGGGGAAATAAAAACTGAGAATATTCCATTTTCTATATCTCGCCAATTATATGTTGACTTACCAGACTTAATATGATATTATTGACCATCATTATTTGGTAACCACTCTATGATATCAGTACCCCATTAACTAGCCACAGAGAGGTTATATGAACACACAAGAAAATAGGAAATGTTTACTTCTCGAACAGGGCAATGCCCATAACAGGATAAAATGCACGCAAAGTTTTCTACATTAAAGGATCCGCTATGATACATTTCAGCAATGGCAAAGCGATAACACGTGGGTATTTGTCGTCAGTCCCTTCTGTTATAGAACCCTGTCATAAACTGTTGTTTATGACATGAAAGATAGCCAAATATTAACTGGTGTTCCCGACGCGTTACATAACGAAATATGAACTAGCTTCTTTTCTGGCGTATATCACGTTAAATGTCGGAACGGAAAGGACAGCATTACTGTCACAGAAAGGTTCAGTAACTCAAAAACTTCCTAGTTGTCTAACAGGCTAAATAATTGACATTTCTCGGCGCTTTAACTAGGGATTTCATGACGTTTGCATTAAACAAGTCTTAGTCAACTGTAATTTTTACTTGTGGATTTTCTTCGAAAACGCTCATCCAGATTTTATATAACTACAGCAAAGTTAAATATAACTATTCCTAATTGATTAACTATTTTACTTGTTTTTTGTTTTTTTTTCACTAATTTTCATAGAATATTTTTCGTCACATTTTTAATATTTTAAGAAATGAGGACATGCTAGACACTACAACATGTACAGTAGTACCAGATTTACAAAACCAAACTGTAACCAGGTCCAGGTCACATATTAGATTAGACAGGGGTTTCTTATCTTAATTTACTCACTCTTTTTTTTGGGGGGGGGATATTAGTTCATACGCATGAAACGCAGGAAGAAATGTTTGTGATATTGAATAGACCCTGTTGAAACATTGAAACTCTTTAATATACACTGCATTCATATTTTTCTGCAGTGTAGTTTCACAAATTATGTTCCCAGGTTTCTATTTTATTAGCATCGAGCAGAATAAATGTTACTCCTCATGACAGGCTTTAAAGCCTTTTGCGTGATGTACTGTAGGGATTTCCAAGGAGAATTATCTCCGTTCAATTGAATTGGAGTTGTGTGTCTCATGTGGGCCTCTTGGTGACGTCACTTCAAACGGCCAGTTCGTTTGCCAGCTTCCAGGAGTCAGATCAGTTGCTTTATTAGCCAGCTTACAAGCCCATAGCCCCGTTTTCTTTGGGGAATATGTCTTCATCAGATATCTCCGGCTCGCAGTCCTCATCTTGGGGAAAACCATGCCTGTTTGAGTAGAACATATCCTCGCTAGTAACATAGAAATTAAATCCGATCTAAGCGAATATCTGCTGGGATTCCTAAATAGGGCTCCTCCAAAAACACAGGTGAATCCTCTAGCAGCTCAAATTCACACAGAAAATTATTGCAAGTAAGACTCTCTTTTCGTGTTTTTTCCACACTGCTTGTATGTGTTATAACTTATCAGCGTAAATATAATTGTGTGTATAACTTAGCGATCTAAAACTCATTCTGAGAACAAATCATGGTTGTTATTTCTTTTTTTCAGCTATTCCATTCTGTCCGTGAATAAAATAATGTTCATAATGGAGGAAATTCAAAAATATTCCAATCTTTCATAGCTCACCTATTATTTACCACCATTATTCCGTAACCACGATGTGATATTAATACCCTATTAGCATTTTTCGCTATCTCAACGCGTCGTAAATTTCAGTGTTGCACTTTCAGTCCACTGTTAAAATACTTCCCAGATATTTCAATTTTTGTACTTGGTGTCTCTAATTTTTAATTTGCATGTTGGGGTGTTCCTTTTACTGACAAAGAATTTAACATTATTATTGTAGTTGTTGTTTCTATTTACAGTTTAAATGTTATATAACTGAAAATAACCGAGAAAAAAAAAACAATATAAAAAGAGAGTTAGGATTCGAAACACTTCTAAAAAATACATGTCCTCTTCTTGGAAAATGTTAGGTTAAAACATAAGCAAGTCTCTCTAATTCGTGTCAATGTATAAATAAATTTGCAAATACGCTTTATTAAAATATTCGTAATAAAATAAACAGTTATAATATATCAGATATTAAAAATAAAATAAAGTCGCTATATGGCATACAATTTTAAAAGGTAATTGATATATAACATTTAACCTAACAAAAAAGCAAACAGTGACCATTATAAATAAATAAAATATGTGTGGTAATAAAAATGTTATAGCAATATTGATTTATTAATACTAATTGTATTGTGAAACAGGCCTGTATAATAACAATTGACAGTGAAGTCAATATAATTTTGTTTTGGGTCTGTATTAAGAAAGGTTCAGTTGGTTTCTTAAGTTTTCCCCTCCGTTGCCATTTGCATTTGTGATTATTTATACTTTTTATTCTCAAATTTCTATCGAAAAAATAGAAATCAAAGGTTAGATTATTTTTTAATAGTTAAAATATCTGTATAGGGATCCGATTTACCCGTGATTGAACAAAATCGTGCATTTACCAAATATGTATAAACACTTCGAATTTATTTTGTCGAAATCTGTCTACACGATTAGCGTCAGTAAAACAATTTAATATGCGAATTGATCTTAAACAATAATTGTTAAATGTCATCAGAACATATAATGTCGAGAAATTCTTTCACATGTTTCCACCAGACTTAAAAATTATTCGGCAAGAGAATATGCACACCAAATATATATATATATATATATATATATAATTTAGGATAGCCTATACGACAGAAGAATTTAAGTATCTAATTACAATATAATCTAATTATAATTGAAGAAATATGTGTGTATACGTGCAGCGAGATGACTCGGTAACAGTCCATTGTGTGAAAAACAACTAAATTATTTCCCTTTATCAGCAAAAGTTTTCAATATAAAGAGATCACAAACGACCTTGGAGTTTTGCCAGTTTATCTGACTCAGTTTCTTTCATTTCATTAAAACAGAAAGTAATTTTTACGAATGAGTTTCCGTCGTTGATTTCAATATTCTAAATATGTTAGCTATTTTACATGACCTATAGAGTATTTAAATTGTGGTCGATGTCAATCACTTCTTCACCAAGTACTGTCCGTGCTACAAATTAGCATTCAAGGTGAAACTAATATACTGAGTAACGTCATACAGAAAAAAAACCCTAAAGTATAAGCATTTCAGTTGTTCCATAAAACTACTTTAATACTTGACAAAAATTATCACCGTTTTGAAGAAGCTTAATATTCCTCCGATATTTTGTTTAAGAGGAAAATTTTGAATAAACCATGTTGAAGTTTCTGCACTAGGCAGCGGAAAATTGCGACTAGAATTTATATTCGATTGGATTGTCAGTTATGTGCCATGCGTGATACACACGCTCAGGCGATCATGGATGTTTCGATAAATGACGCAGACTTTTCACGCAGTAGGTTGCTATTACTTTCTGCCTTAGACCAATTGCCATCCAAGGCTATAGAACCCGGCCTATCCTGCTATTTACCCATAGCTGGGGGAGAAGAGGATTCATACCTTTCCCAAGGGTATTAGCACGTAAATGAATGTAATGGATCTAACTAGAATTCGAACTCGCTCGGTCCGAGCTGCTATTCATTACTCCACCCGGATTGGATTGCACACGTCTGTAATATGTGAGAATAAACAGAAATGTTTTCTCATGGTTTTTACCTTTAACTGGCTGCTGAAACTTAAATCATAAGAAAAATTGAAAAAGTACCATGAGAGCTTCTACACGACCATTAAATATATATATATATATATATATATATATATATATATATTTAAATAAAGTCACATCATATTTAACAATAAATTAAAATGAAAATAATTATAAACTTTACCTATGTTTCATTTCAGAAATGATGAAAACTATACTGCCAATCTGCATACCATCAAAGACCGTGGCGATATACAAAAAATTGAGCATAACAATTTGGTAACGTCCACATCCGCCAGCAGCTTTGATCACATCTTCGTATTTCATTTTTCTTTTTATAATCCTCTTCCCTCTTCGCTGAAAATGAGAAAATACTTTTGTCTTAAGACGAAACACTTTTCGAAGTTAAGATAAAAGGCAACTTTCTATATGTTTGTCCTTTGATACAAATGCGAGTCGGTTAATATATACTATTCTTTCGGTGAAACGTAGCTCGAAGTGGGCAATGGTATACAAAAAGACATGCTCTAGTAGCTTCAACCAATGAGCTTGCCTATGTTGTCATTATTCTTTTGATTATGGAACTTTTGTTATGGTGTAATGTTCTACCGTCTATGCTGGGGAGTCGATTTTTTGGCATTGTGTGGGCTGAACGATGGAACTCAACTATGAGTTCATAGGATAAAGCCTACAATATATGTGTTATTGCGAGAAAAGGTAGGTGAAGGAAGGAAGAAGACAAAGTAATAGCATGAAGCAAATCCTGAATAAAAATTTATAAAACAGATAAAGTATGTTTTATGTATCTATCCATATTCTATGTACCTTGCATTTACCAACATAAAGGAAGACTGGGAATTTTTTTTTCATATTTAAAATGGGTAATTTTATTTTCTCTCTTCTAGTTCAAATTTCTTTTTTAAACTATCTAGTTTATTTCTTTCCCGTTTTTTATACCTCTTATTTTCATCTATTCTTGTCTTTCTCTCACGCCTCTTTCATTTCTGTAAGTGTTTTCTTCAAATATGATATACACAAATATCGAATATAACTTATAGGAAATGTTGTAATTTGTACCTCAAATTTTTGTCTCATTCACAATTATTTTCTAATTTATGTAATTTTTAATTAAAATATACATACGTATAAGAAGATACAATAAAATGCTATGAATTAATGTTTATTGATCTCATTTTTTATGAAAAAATTATTTAGTGTGCTTTGTCGCATTGTATTCTTCTGTTTTTCATATAATTGGCAGTACTGAGAAATTTCCCCTTCAAATTTTCCAAACATAGTTATTACTATTTTAACCTGAATTTGTTTCTATAATCTTTCCATAGAAAGTGCATACATCTTTTACATTTCGATATTTTTTAATAAATGCAAAATTCTCTAATAAATTTTTTTAACAAAAAACAAATTTCCTTTTAAGACCTTCAAAATAAACATGAAAAAAAATCAAAAAAGAAATCAAAAATCATTAAAGAAATTTTAATAGAGACAAATATTTAAATATGTATTTTTATTATCAAATTTATTTTTATTATAAAATTTATTTTATTATAAATTTTATTTTATTATAAAATATATCTATTTATAGCCGTCCATTTTTAACACTACTGTAATTACATAGATAACTTAATACTTGACAAAATATTTATCCATTTTTTATTTTTAAATTTTAGAAAATTTTTAATTTATCGGTAACTAAAAATTTTCAATTACCATGATTAAACTGTAGTATGTTTTACCGCACTAATTGAGTATTAAGTATGCACTAATCCAATTTTAGCATATAAACATTTTAGTGCACTATTCAAAATCGCATTAATAGAGGGATTCCTTTACAGTCTCTGATGGTTTTCCGTATACTTTTCTTTCTGCAATCGATGGAAAACATTGTAAATATTCAACCAACGTGGAATGATAAAACCGAATATTACTGTGAGACCAGATTGCCTAATGCTCCTCCCACTTATGTTACAAGTTTAAATATTTAATATCAAACTTGAAATCGTCTCCTTAAAAATAGTGGATTTACTGCATTGCTTTGACTGATTAAATATATTTCGTGTGATTCAGGCCTTGATGCTGTATATCCAAATAACAAGTAGAAGTTCGACATAAAGTACTGAAAAACTTGAATAGAATTTATATGCACTTTGATTGTACGCGTCAATAACCTCACAAAATAAATAAAAATGTTCTCCTTCCTATAATTTTAACATTAGAGCAACAGCTTTAGAATTCAATAAAAAGAATTGAAAAACTGCCAGGTGAAGTTCAAATAGGACGAGATTACATGTTTCAATAAAGTCATAACATCGGAAGAAATGACAAATTAGAATAAAAGTAATCATAATTGTTACTTTGCAACTGTCTCATTTAAGGAATGATGAAAACTATACTACCGATTAAAAAAAAAAGCCGTGGCAAAATATACAATACACTGACCATAAATATTTGGTGAAATCTTCATCTAGCAACAACATTGATTACGACTTCATAATTCCTAATTTCCTCGATATTTCTTCTTTTTTTCCGATCTGCGAATCACAAAAATCGTGTCGTATCAAAACTTAATGTAATGCGAAGCATAGAAACTATACTGACAACCTGTAAACTATTAAAAATTGTGGCGATATTAAATACGTTAAGTTTACCTATTTGGTAACGTCCACCAACAGATTAGATTAACGTCTTCGTAATGAATACTTTACGTGATAGATCTTTACCTTTCCCACTGAAAATCGCAAAAATGCTATATTAGTGTTGTAATGGTTAACAAGCTCGTATCTCTAAATCAGTTACAACTGAGTAGTGAGTTCGATCTGCACTGGGCGTTCCACACTTTCGATCTTGATATTTGTGCGTAAAGATAACAAACCCAAGTGGAATTGGAACATTACACCACCGGCACATAGCTTACAGGACCTGGTAATCCCAAACTATCAATCATCTAGGTACTAGCCAGGTGTTAAATAATAGCCTAGCAGAATATTATTTTTTAGAGAATTGAATTTTCCTCTGTTTCCCTAATTTTGAAATTTGAGGTCAGATACAAGAAAACAAAGGAAATTATTTTTGATTGGTTAACACTAGCGTAGGAATGTTAGAGAGATAAAAAGTAATATCAGGCAGTTAGGTTTTTACATATCATATAGAGTACACGTGGTTATTTCGTTTCTCGGGGAACTTGCTCCCCAGTGGGGTGATAGAGTGATCCTTACTGGCTAGTTAAAAATGTGCACGTCGACATGTTTAATAAAATAGATAATTTTAAAATCCCTTTTGTTGAAGATCTCTTTCATCTCCGGACTCCAAAAACATTTCGCCACCCGTCCAGGATAAGACTAACGAGAAAAGATACGTTATGGAATCTAGCACATCAACCAAGATCTCCCTAGAACCATGTGGCTATGCAATATTTTGCTTATCTAGTGCAGTGAACATGACCTCCCAACATAGGGGAATGTAGAATGAGACTTGCAACTCAACGTGGAAAAGTTCGAAGACTGAGGTCTCAAAAAAAAAAAAAAGAATAAAAAAAGGGAATAGTCTAGACATATTGGACAGTCCGTAAGTGTGATGGTATTACTTTATTCTACTGCCACACACACACACGTTCAACAAACTAAACTAGGTAGTAATGATGAAAAAAATAAAACGAGAAAAAAAAGGGAAAAAAATTAAACGAGCAAAGTATGATAGACAGAAGAAAGTGAGGAGGAATAGAGTAGAAAAGAGAAAAAAAAAAAAAAGAACAGTTTTTGAAAATGAACTGATTTTTGATGTTTTGTTTAGTCCGAGTTTGACAAAAGTTTGAGGCCTGTGCAAAAATTTATTGTCGATACTTTTTTCATTGGTACGCTTCAAATGTCATATCTAAGGTTACGTTTGGGCATGATTTCCTGTTGTATATGCTGCAATTGTAATTTTTATTAACTTAATTTAACTCTGGCCACGAATGTTTCACTGTTATGAAATTTTTTTGTCTTTAAGTAAATTTGACCAATTTCGATGATTGGCCACATGGAAGCCTGAATTTACGTACATGAATGCAATGGAAAGTTTTTTAGAAAAGAAAGACTGACTGAATTTTGTTATGGGACATTCCGACTGTGATTTCTGTGTACACTAATTAGTTGAAATTTGTTGTGACTACCAAGTATAGAATTATTTTGTTAATTGGAATTAACTAAGAAATAATTGTTTGTTTTTTTTCATTTTTGTAACAGTGGGTGGAATTTTTTAAATTATTTTTAATAGCCATGTGTGTCCTTTTGCCTTCATTGGTCGGGTAAATAAGTTATTAATTGGTGAATTTTGAGAATTAATTTTTGTGAAAGAAGTAAGTTAGCTAATTTTTGTAGATATAAGTAAATTCGGCTTGCATTGTTTCAGGGTTCTGAATGTGTTTGGGTCTGTGACCAAGTGGGGAAATAGTCACACCTAGCTATGTAGTGAGGGATCCGATGATTTATGGGGAATAGAATGGGGGCCTGTGCGCCATTAAGTATTTACATCGAATAAATATACCATAAGATACCCCCGGGCCCAAGTTTTGGAGCCCTCGATGACATTGTGGAATTGATAAGGTGGCTTGTGGAATGCCAAATTGCGATAGGGACTAAGGAAGAAATCTTTGTAATTGCGGTAGAGACAGTAATGGATTAGTTAGGAGATGCTGAGCTGACACGATTGTTTTCCCCATGGGGCAGGAGAATTTGAGATGACGCGAGCAGAGCTTTGGCACACAGAAGCAGATGAGCAATAACAGTAACAAGAAATTAATGGTGGTAAAAATTGTGAAGCTCTGTCCAAATGAATCTGGTAATATGCAAGTGAAGAAATTAATTGTTTTTTTTTAATAAATAGGGTGAGAATGAAACATATGTGCTGTGGTAGGAGAAGAGTGTAGTTCATATTTATGGAAAAATTAGGTGGCAAGGACGTGGCTCAGTTATGGAATTGTTTGACTATGGCATGGGGCTTTTGTTATGTATTCTCTGTTTTTTGAACCAGTATTTATTTTTCAATGAGTTATATGTAAATTTCGTGTAGTCTCACGTGAAGAGGCAAGGGATTTTGTTCTCCCCAGTAATAGTGGATTGTAGTGGTGGTACCTGCTAAACTGGGTGGGAGCAGTTGGAAAGGTCAAAGTTCACTGTTGGAGTGACTTTTATCCAGAATGGCATCTGAGACGTTGACCTTGGGTCACGGAAGCTAGAGACCAAGAATAGAAAAAGGATTGTCCGATATTCTGTTTCTGTTTTATATATCAACAGTGCAAAAGTAGGCAGCTGAAAGTAGGTGGGGAAAGA